CTAACTATAGGCTTTATCAAAGAGAAGAGTTTTAAGTTTAACTTTAAATGCTCAGATGGTGTCTGTCTCCTGAACCCAGAGTGGGAGCTGGTTCCACAGGAGAGGAGCCTGGTAGCTGAATGCTCTACCTCCTGTTCTACTCTTACTGACTCTTAGAACCACAAGAGAGCCTGTGTTTTGGGAACGAAGTGATCTATTTGGATAATATGGTGTTAGTAGGTCTTTAATATATGAAGGGGCTTGATTGTTAAGGGCTTTATATGTGAGGAGCAGGATCTTGAATTCCATTCTGAATTTTACAGGGAGCCAATGTAGAGAAGCTAAGACAGGAGTGATATGATCTCTCCTTCTAGTTCCTGTCAGCACTCGGGCTGCAGCATTTTGGACCAACTGGAGACTTTTAACAGTCTTCATGGAGCATCCTGCTAATAGAGAGTTACAGTAATCTAATCTAGAGGTTACAAGACAAATGTGAGTTTCTCAGCATCCTTGTTAAGGGCCGGGCTTGGACACAGAGGCAGAGGCTGAGACAGGTTTAAAGTCACTGAGGTTTATTGGAAAAGTCCAGTAGCTTAAGCAGGCAGGTAGACAGACAGGTAAGCAGGCAGGCAGGACTCTGGAGTCGGGGCTGTAATCCAGCTGCTGGTCCTGAGCAGGAAGACAGGAAAGGTTAGGATGCAGGATCAACAGGACGTTTACAGAATCTAAATAGTTACAATAGCAGCAGCTATAACTAACTTGAACTGAGTCTATAGTCCAGCACAGACTGAGAGCAGTAGTGGAGCTTATATAGGCAGCTGGTCAATCAAGGCCCCAACTCCAGCACACCAGGTTCACATCAGTAATCAGCCACGCACCTACACACCAACAGAGAGATAGAGAGAGGGAGAGAGAGAGAGAGCCTAGTAGGCAGGTGAGGAGGAGGGCATGACCATCCTTCTGAGACAGGATGTTTCCAATGTTCTTAATATTGCACAGGTGGAAGAAAGCTGTCCTAGAGGCTTGTTTTATATTTGGGTTAAATGACATGTCCTGGTCAAACTTAACTCCAAGGTTCCTCACAGTGGAGCTGGAGGCCAAACTGACACCATCCAAGGTGACTATCTGGTCAGACAGTGTTTCTCTGAGATGTCTTCACTCTGCTTTCACTTATACATTTATTCCATATTCCTTTTTTTAGGTCCTTCCTCTCCTCTTTTTTTCAGTGTGTTTCCATTCACCTGGTTTTTACACACATTTTAATAAACTCAAAATAGATTAATTTTCTTGCAAAAAAGTGTTTGTCGCAGGTTGAAACGTTGGAATTGATAAAGCAAAATGTGACAAAGTCCAATGGAAACAGACTCAGTGAATAAATAATGACATTCATGGAGTATGGGACTTAAACATGTCTTTAAAGTGGAGCAATAAGGAGACTGGAACCTTCCTCACATTAACACATGAGACAAACAGAAACGGTTGGAGTTATGACTGCAGCTCATCTCCTTGTGACCTCTTCTTCTGCAAATATTTAATGGTTATTGTGTGCAAGAAAAGATTTAGGATATTGTTTTCACAGAACTTAAGCTGGCTCAAACACTAAGCAATGAAAGTGTATTGCTGCTGTCCGGGGAAAACCATGGTCTCTTTTCTAGATTGAGAAAATCAGTTACATTATAAGGTGGCTGTGGCTGAGGGGTAGAGCGGTCATCCTCCAACTAGGAGGTCAGCGGTTGAACCCAGACTAGCCCCAACTGTATGAATGTGTGTGAATGGCAAACTGTACTGTAAAGCACTTTGAGTGGTCATTAAGACTAGATTTACCATTTGTAGTATAGCGCCTCTGAAAAATGCTTTAACAGACAAAGTAGACACGTGTTCAAAATTCACAAATAAACTCAAAAAGCAGATGTCAAAGTAATTCTGTGTGTGTGTGTGTGTGTGTCAGGAGGAGGTGCTGGAGCTGAACAGGAGGCTGATAACCGTTGACTGCCAGCTGAAGAAGTCTGAGCTGAGCAGGAAACACCTGGAGATCTCCAACAAGAAACTACTGGGCTTTGCTCAGGTACCGCTCACCTCCTGTTAACCCGCAGTTACTTTGTATACGTGTGGTCTTGTTAGATGTCATCGTGTTAACAGTAAAGACCCAGATGTATGTACTGTGTGTGTATCACTGCCAGATATAACAAAGAATGAGGTAAAAAAGCCCAAACCACAGAAGACGAAGAACCCAACGTTCAAATACCAAATACATGGAGGGTGGGGGAACGCTGCAAGCACTGCATATAGTTTCGTACAGAGTGTACTTGAGCGGACGGCACTCTGGTCAGCCAATCAAATCTTCTATGATATTCTTTTAACTTGTGCAACCCCCCCACCAGTCTTTTAAATACAGTCTATGGTGTTATAGAGCCAGTCTGCCCCCCAGTGGCTGAAGGACACACACTGCAGCTCTCCACAGTTTGATAAACACGTCCTGACCTCTCGTGATAATCCATTTGTTCAGTTATTGAGGTTGTAACGTCCTTCACGAGTCATAGTAATGACTGATTTCTCTCTAAACTCTCTAATGTGATGCATCACATCCCCTCCCCAAATTAAAGAGCAGTAATTCCACCCACACCAATACTTGGTTGGGTGTAAAATTTAATATTTCTTGTCCGACCTAGTGTTTTTATGAGTCTTACCTGGTAACTCAGGATCTCAGAAAGTTCACTCTGACTTACAGATGACCTGATTATAGATGACTGTGATTACACAACATGTGTTTTTGGCCATAACTCAGAATTCTTGTGTTTATTATAAAAAATATACTTGATACCTTTAATTTAATTCCTTTAAAATCCCACTACATATATCAAATGAGTCTGGACAAGCGTAGACTGGTTCTCAGAGGCTGATTTTAGCTTCCACATCTTATGGAGAAAGAACTAACCCTCACCCTCACATGACTGTTGACATGATCTCTCTCTTCAGAACGTCCACAAAGTGCTGACAACACCCAGCCTGTTTGGAGGAGAAGGCGGGTAAGAGACCCTCATCATCACTTTATTTGCCCCCCCCACATTTACGTGTCCAGCTAAAACAATTTTAATGAACCGTGTGAAAGTGCATACACAGACTGTAAATATGTGTGTGTGTGTGTGTGTGTGTGTGCTGTGTATATATCAGGAGCAACAGGTCGTCTCCAGCCACTGACAGCCCCGACACACCGTCACCACTTCCTGATCCTGCCTTCCAGCTGGCTGTGGAGGCCAAAGAGCTGGTGGAAGGCGTCACTGCTGATGGCAAAGGTACAGAGAGCAGACTGGAGTACACACGATCTTAATACTCAGCTGGGCACCACACTAGAGCCGACAGCTTTGATGCCTGATTCATTCAGTTTCCAATCAAAAACATGTCATTCAAACACGTTTCATTCAAATATGAGAAGAGAAAGTGAATATATTTAGGTTTTGAAATGAAAGTCAGACAAACAAGCTTGAATTTAGGACATGGTAAATAGACTGTGTTTATAAAGTAAAACTGTGCTTTACAATACACATGACACTGATCCATTCACACACATTTAACACTGGCTGTTCTGCCTCCAGGAGCAGTTTGGAGCTCACTGAGCCGCTGCACCTCATTTGCATTAAATCCCCACAGTCACAATACTATTACTAATATTATTGATAATATTACTTATAATAATAACTTTTCAAAACACGTTTTGAATAAGGGGATAAAAGCAAGATAAATGAAACAACGTTGTTACACAATCAGAACAGCACAAAAAAGGTCAAGAACAAATGGAACTTTATTAAAATATGTAACAGGTAAAACAAATGTGTATACATATACATATATATATGTCCATACAGTCACAGAGAGGCATATGCATTTACACAGTTGGGTCCAGACGTTTTGAGTCAAGGTGCAGAAACAACTCAAAGGTGATCAAGAGAAATGAAAGTGTTTGAATTCTTGTGTCAATGAGATACTCATTTGTTTAAAGTTGATATTTTGTATGTGAGCCTTGGTAATGATTGATGAGTGGGATTTTTTTTATTTTAGCATAATGCTGCAACATGACACTGAAAACAGTGAAGGGCTCTGATTGCTTTCTGAATGAAAGAAGTAAATGCATGATCAAAAATGATAACCGCTTTTCTTAGTCAAAGTTTTTTTCTGTCCATCTGTGATTAACCTGCAGCATCAGACCACGTTTCAGAGGCGGCGCCGGTCCCAGACATCAGCCCGCATCATATGTGAGCGACCAAGAGCCAGAGAGGACAGTGGGGGGGGGGCTGAGCAGGTTGAGCTCACAGCTGAACCCACGACAGAACACACCACATCAACAGCCAGACACGAGTACAACTTCTTCACTTCAATCAATTCAAATCCTCAGTTCATGCTGGCAGGTTGAACACAGCGCAGCCAATGTTTTAATGCCAAAGCTTTGCTCGCACACGTCAAATTAGTGTCTTCCTTTGAAATATTCGTCAGTCTTTCCGGAGGGTTCGGCAGCGGAGCGTGTTGAGCTCAGCCGTGACCCGAGGACGCTCTTCCTTCAACTAATCACATGTACAGAAGTTTCTATGAGAAGTGCTCTGCCAAATAAAAACATCTGCTGGAATTCTCTTTTGTGTTAGTCAGACAGCAGGTGGTGTTGGAGGGGCTGCATGACCGAGTCCAACACACACACACACACACACACACAGACACACACACACACACAGCTGTAAACCTTGTTAGTACTCCTCCCTGACCTCTTTTCTAACCACACACATAGATTGACTCCATGAACTGCATGTGGAGGATGGCGTGTTTGCTTGGACAGGACGATCCTGAGCTGGTCTTGCTTGCTGCCATCTGCCTCCCTCACACACTGTCATTTTTTGCCCTGCCACAGAGGAAGTCTTTCAATAACACAACAGTGTACCTTTTGTCCATCATGCTAACTTACAGAAGAGAATCGGCGCCATGTGAACTGTTTTTTGGAAAAAGAAAAATATAGATTCTGACATTATACTCAGAATTTAAAAAGAAAAATCATGCATTTTCAAAAAAAAGATTTTTTTTACATGGCTCAAAACCTTTTCTGTAGTAACTCTCCTTGTGCCCTTACTCATGGATAAAAGGCAAATAATGAGGTTTCTAAAGAGACTGGACTAGAGCAGTGTTTGTTATCTACAGCTTCATATCACTGCATGGTTCCTCCAGGAGTGGCTGTACGTCAACGTAGCTCCAGATGTGTAAACTTGTGTTTAGTAGTCACACAGTCAGTCATAGGCTACATGTGGAATATTGAGTTTATTTCTACAGACGGCTGCTGATGCTTTTGAACGTTCTGACATGTCTTGTAGTTGAAGCAGTTTGCAACTTTTGGTGTGGCCTCATATTCTTTCTGTTACTATTTTATATTAAAGCAATAACTGACAACTGCACCCGATGTCCTGTTTACTTTAACACTTTATTTCTGATCATGATGAGAGTGTGTGTGTGCCACAGCAGTCACTGTGCTGTTCACAATACAAGCGTAAGAACCCTGATCCATGACCCGGATCACGAACTACACAGCTCTATGAACAAAGAGAATGATCTCACTATTGAAATGAAACAGGTGAGACATCCCTGTGGGGCGGCTGACGCAAAAAAAAACCTTTACAAAAGCCCAAAGGAAGGTTGTGGTGCAGAACTTATTTTTGTCTTTAGAAATAATATAATAAAATAAACAAATAATAACTTAAATCCCCACTTCAATATAAGGACCAATTACCATTATACTGAAGTCAGCATGCTAGCCCCAGAGAGATGTTCAGGTACATGTAGTACCTTTAAAACAACACACAGAAAAATGGAGGAACACTCAACTGAAAATGAAGAAATACAAATACTCTTAACTAAAAAACTATTCTTTGAAAGAATCAAAGAACAAAAATGTCCGATTTCTTGAAGGACACGATCAGATTTAGTCCAGTCTGTCATAAAACAATATTTACATGAGTATTTGTACACTGAGGACAGTTGAGGGAGACGTCCCTTCTTGGACTAGTACCCCTGCTGCCACTGATGGGAGAAGAAAAGTTGAACCCAAGCTTCAGCAGCAGAAGATCCGTTCTGTTTCTTACTGCTCCGACAGTCTGATGTGTCTCAGACGGCTCACACCTCACAGTACAAACACTGGCCATGTGAGTGGTGGTGGTAGTTTTTGGATCAGACTTGACAGAATGTGGCAGTATCCCCACAGTCAGCTCCAGTCTGTGCCGAGCTGCTCCGCCTGCTCGCTCTTGACATTCATCCCTGTGTTGCGTGTGCCAGCCCCCCCCCCCCACACACACACTTTCCTGTTCCCCTCTCATTGGTTATTTCTCTTCATCTCCAAGATGCTGAGGCCACAGATGCATTCTGTGAAAATAACGTGTCAGCGTTGGTGCAGCTTACAGTGGGAACTCACAACAGTACATGTGATGGGCTGAGGATGCTTTCCATTCCAGACCTTTTTACAGTAATGCTGTGTAGTCTGTACCAAGCTACAGTAAAACTTCAAAAATATATTCATAAAAATATAATCTGATTATCAGGAACTCTCCCAGCACCGTGGTTATGCATGTGCCAACGTGGCTTCTTACTTAAATACATCATGTGATAGAACCAGGGAGGTTTGGGTCGGACTGTTGCATGAATCCTTTAAAGTGTAAACTAGTAACAGAGTTCAGTCACATCCCTTCAACTGGGTTTGACTCTTTTTGGATTCAATATAACGTCACGTACAGCCTGTGGAGTAAAGATAAGGTCTGACCCTAAATTATGTGAACGATAATTTGGATTCAGAGAGCAGAGAGAAAACCATACTGTCCATTAGAACGTCACAGTCCATGATGAGGGACTAGAATGGTTTCTGGTAGCAGAAGGGGGGTGAGCCCATGCCTGGGCTGTGGAGGTTTGAGTCGTAGGAGCTGGGAGTAATTCCCACAATGCCCTCAGCCTGCGGTGTCTCCCCGCACAGGAAGTCATCCTCGTCCTCCTTGGAGCCCTGACAGACAGAGAAAGAACAGCCAGGTCCAAGTGAGGTTTAAGTGACTGTGAGGAACAAAAAGTCCAAATCCAACAGACAACATCTTCACAATCAAAGACACATTTCCAGTTGGACTTCATCTGACCAGAGAGACCAAGACTTACACTACACCGGTTTCACAAAAATTTAGTTTTTCCCCACAGCTAGCTCTCTCCCAAGTTCCCCGGTCTATGAGGCAGTGCAGTGAGGTGCTGCAGTATTTACTGAACACGATTAGACTTTCTGTCTCCTCACCTGTGGTGCCGTTTTGCCAGGAAGCACCTCCATGTCTGCCAGTTCCTCCCAGACCTGGTAGAGTGGCTCAATCTGCTGACCGGACCTGTGAAACCATGCAAACTCTGTATGGGAGCTTTGTATGGAACACTGTCATCACAACACTTCCTGTGCACCAGGACACTGTAGATAAATGATTTGAGAAGTGGCCATGACAGTAATGATACAGCCTGTAGGGGCGGCTGTGGATGAGGGGTAGAGCGGTCGCCCCCCGACCTGTACAATAGCAGCTCGAATCCCAGCTCATACCGAAGTATCCTTCGGCAAAATGCTGAATCCCCTGATTGGAAGTGGCTTTGAATATAAAGAAATGTAATGTACCTCTTGAGCAGGTAAGGGTCGAAGGGGAAGACGCTGTCCAGAGGGTTGGTGTTGGTGGTCACATAGTCGCCTCCTGCTGAGCTGCGGATCACTGGCAGCATGTGGCGGTTGTTCCTTTCTATGATGGTGTAGCAGAACACCACCTGGTACTTCCTGCAACAAAAGCAAGGAGTCGTTTAAATCCCACTTTGCTTTATCTGATAATTAACCAGTTTACAAAGTGTATCATACATTGGCCTTCGTCTGCATTGGAATTCATGTGGGATGCCCATTTGACAGCAATATTTCAATTTTATGTAAAAAAACAAACTTAGTAGGTATATAAAATGTGTGTGTGTGTACCTGGTGATAGCAGCAAACATGTTGGTGACTGAAGGAAGGCAGACTTTGAGAGGGTTCAGCTGACACATCACTACCCGCTCCAGGTTCAAACTCTGCAGGTACTCCAGACCTGACAGACAAACACACACACACACACACACACACACAGTTGTAAAATAAAATATATTTGCTGTGTATTTGCGGCCATGTTTTCCATTTGGGGCTTAAGGTGTGTCTTGTACCTTTCTTCATGTTGCCCTCCAGCATGGCTCTGTGTCTGAAGATGAGTGTGTAGAAGACGGCCTGGCAGGCTGAGTAGAAGGGCCCATGCAGGCTGATGTCACAGCAGGCCTGTTTGCCGCTGCTGTCCTGACTGTCGATGTAGCGATGGATCCAGGAGAGCAGCAGGTCCAGACAGGCCCGCACAGTGCTGGGGGAGGGGTTAGAATAATTGGATTAACAGCTGGATAATGATGGACACTAGAGCTGTTTTCAGACATGCAGTAAACTCTGGAGAACCCCCCCCACCCGGTGAAGGTGTGTGTGTGTGTGAACGCATATGTCAGAGTGAGAGCCTCCGGGGATTCTGTAGACTTTCTCCACCTGCCCCCTTGTTAAGTCCATTAAAAGTCTGGAGGAGATGATATGAGAACATAGCAGGAGATTCTTCACAGGATTCACCACAAAAACACATGATCTCCGGAGCGGAATTAATACGTAGTCCTGCCGGCTGCACCACCCCTCACCTGAATCCTGTGGAGGATTCTTTTGCTGTTGTGAACCGCCCGCTGCATTGTTCATGTGTGAAAGGCAAACTGCAGAGAAAGTCCAGACCCAATTCCCTGGAGTTCCTCCGCAGGTCATGTCTAACCACAGCTTAGGACTACGAGGAATAAACTACCGGCTTTTACTTTTCTTAAGCAGAAACTTGATGTAAACTCACGGAACAGGGACGAACTTGGCTCGGGCCAGGAAGCTTCCCAGGAATCCAGCGGCAGCCTGGCGAAGGACAGCAGGCTGAGAGGGGTTCTGTAGGATCTTCCACAGGTGCTCCAGGAAGGCCTCTGCCAGGGCCTGGGGAGATGTAACATACATAATGTTACTTTGACTGCTGATGTCTTCTCCAGGAAAACAAGGGACTGGTCATCTTTTGAGCAGATGTGTTTGCCACAGAACGGTAACATTTCATTTCAATTATTCAGCAGCAATAATTGATGTTTGGCCAGGTTGTGGCATTGGAACATTGCATTTCACTAGCTGATGAATGGATGGTGCGTGAAGACCAGACTGAGGGTTAAATGCTACATATTGCTTTTTCCTAGCACTACACTGACTACACAGGGAGTACTGACCAGTCTGAAGCTGCAGAGGTAAAAGAGTGTGTACTGGACGTGACAGGAAGCGTGTGTTGGCAGAATGAGTTTGTCAAACACACTCAACAAATCCTTGTACAGCTCCTTCGTCTTCTCCACATGAAGAGAGCCTAAGAGAGAAATCAAAGCACTGAACACCACTGATGACACGTTACAGCTTAAAACCATCCCTTTACAAGGATGCATCCAAAGACACAAAGTACATTTCATATTTTCTCACACTCAAAGATGTCTTGACGTGTCTTTAGTTCTGTTGAACTTTGTCAGGGACTGTTTAAAGCCTAACCCCTGATACTGGTCAACATGAGAAATGTGATCCTCAGTGTAAAAGCTGTGTTATCCATCTACCGTTTAAAAAGCAGACGTCCTTGATGTAAGACATCATCACAGCCATGAGAGTGTCCAGCCGCTCAGCCACTGGATGGGCCATCGCAGTGGTGCTGGGGGGCTGATCTGCTGCCACGTCCTCATCCTGACACACAGATGGAGAGAGCCAGGGCGGGAGGAGGGGGTGAAAATGATGACAAACTCAGAAAAAAGGGCTTTAACTTAAACTCCCTCTTCCACTCCTTTCATATTCTTTCACACAACTACACTCAGCTCTTGCATTTCTATTTATTTCACTTCTGCTGTACAACTTAAAATGTTCTTAGTATTTCAACTACATTTCTTTTCCATTTGAAGTTTTAATTCAGCTATAGTGACATACAGACTCCAGTATGCTGTATAAGTCCAAGAACTCACAATGTTACAAATGTTCTAGAGCTGGAGAGTAAAACGCTCAACTTTATCCACTTAATACTTTGCTGTGGTGTAAACTGTAGAATGAATTATGCCATTTTATCTATTTATTAACTATTTTATATTTGACAAACCTAACCCTAAATAGTATTTTATGCTGTGTCAGCGACCCTGGTACTAACGACAAACATTTCACACCGGATGTGTACCAGAGGAGAACCCAAACCCCTGCAGGTTGTTACCATGTCAAAGAGCCCCTCCTCAGCGTGCTCCTCTGCCCCCTGGCTCTGCACGGCATTCTCCTCTGCTTCTTCAATGTGTGAGCGGGATGCACTCACCTGAAACATACCACACACAGTGTTACAGACCAGAGGAGACACACAGGAGACATCATGTAGATGTACCATGATTTGTGTTGTTGATTAAATAAAGTGTTGAATTACCCAAAGAACACACACGATCTTTAAGAAGTTTGTGGCACTTTATCATTGCAAAGTGTACCGTTCTGCAGTCTGCACTGCTCTCTCCCCCTCTCTCTCTCTCTCAAAAACCTTGAGCTGAGACATTAGACCCAGTCTGCCACGCCCCAAGCAAGTGTATTAATTCTAAACACCCACATGTAGAGCTGATCTATATAACAGCATCTTGAAACAATATTTATGTGTTCCTGGATCAGCAGAGCGTTGCTTCTTCTGGAACAATGAGGAAAAAGGAAGGAACACCATGTTATGTGATAATCTGCAGGAAGAGCTTCTCTCCTGTCTGCAGTGTGTGTGTGTGTGTGTGTGTGTGTGTGTGTGAGCCCCATAAAGCACTTTGATTTAGAGGTGAAACACTCACATCTAGTTTGAGCATCTTTTCAAAGATCACCTCCAGCACGTCTCGTCGAATAGACGGTATGTACACTGTCACTCTCAGGAGGTTGTGGACATAACACTCCTGTAAAAAACCACAAGAACAACATATCAGAGTTTTAGCGGAACCAAACTGTTAAGTACAATGTGTTGAGGAGTTAGGGTGTCAGAACAAAGTTATTCACAAATAATAACTTACAGTATTCATATAAATATCATGTGTATCAGGTTGCAACAACAAAGCAGGTTGCTCAGACGAAAATGATGCATTTTTTAGACAGTGAAGTAACCGAGTTATCGTTTTATCACAGCTTGTTTGAGTCTCCTGATCATTGTATGGATGATTGCCCAGACAAAACCAATGGCTGTATATAAAGTTGAAACCATCCTTGGGAAAAATGGATTTGACCGTTTAAGTTGGTGATGCTCTCATTAAGTGTCTGAAGTCACCACACATCCATATTCACAAGTTACAATTTGCCTTTGAGTGCTAACAAGGTGCAACATGCTCTGTTCTCAACCCTCAACTGGAGTGAGGACAAACTGCCCAAAAGAATTGATTATATCTGAGTCGATCTACAGCATCAACAACTTGTCTCTCACCAGGGTTCTGGAGGATTTCTGTATGAAAGGGAAGTTCTCTTGCACAATGGGCATCAGAAAGCGACTTGTGCTGAAAGCAGAAGGAAAACTTTTACAATTCAATCCATTTAAAAGTCGTCATTACATTATTCAATGTGTTTACAGAGATGAAGTAATTAGTAATTTGGTTTATTGGAGAAAACATCAGATTTATTGCTGTGTAAGAACCTAAAAAACTAAGCAGGAGAAGAGAAATGTGAAGTAACTCACGCTGGAACGTATTTGGTGATGAGCTGTAATGCCTGGTGACACCGATCAAAGCTTCTAGGGAGGTCTTGAAAACAAAAGGAAGAGTGCAGGAATTATTCATTTCTATTTAACTAATGAGGATATCAGCTTTGCTCTAAAATTGCCCTGCTTAACATTCATACCTCACAACTCTCACTGTACTCCCCTGTTAACCCCCCCTGACTGCAGCAAGCAACCCAAACACAGTCCTGATCAGACATATAAAGTGCTCACAGTCCTGAAAGATAGTGCTAATGTTAAACACAACCACTTAATACATGAAAACAGCAATAGAAATGAGAAAGATGATACTCACTCTCATCTTCATCATCTGAATCAGAGATATCCACTCCCCCTTCACAGATGGTCAATCGCTCTGAAAACAAACATTATTTCTCCATGAGTCACTGGTAGTGGAACATAACATCTGTCTTAATCTGATTTATCTGTGGCCACAATATTAACACTGACCGACTGTTTATTTTCTTTTTTAAATTAGTACAATCTCCTTTTAATTGTAAAGCAGGGCTGAGCAATGATTCCCTAAACTCCTTCTTGACACACTGAGTCAGTGAGAGACACTCTTTCTCACTAAAGCTGCTTTCAGACATGCACTGAACTCCAGACATCCTGCACAGTTTCTCTGGAGGACGTTTATATCCAAGTGAGAGCCTCTGGATTTTCTGACCTCCCCAGTATAAAGTCTGCAGAAATTCTGGAGGAGACGATGTGGGAACACAGCAGGAGATCCACTACTGGATTTACCGCGAGCGGGTTGATGACGTTTCTAACACGCGACAGACGCAAAAGTGAAAAGCAAAAAAAACAAATATCTCAAAAGAGCAGAGCCATTCATGTAGAAGACACCAACAAAGATGTCACGAGAGCTTAAGTGATAAGAGTTGACGGCAGTGACATTGTAAACAAAAAAGTGTCTGAGCGGATCATCTCCCACTTCATTTTGCATGTGTTAAAGGAAAACTGCAGAGAAAGTCCAGACCCAATCCTCGTCAGCATCTCCTCTACAACAGACCATTATCATAGTATGACTGGTTTTGTGAATCGAAATGGCGTACGTGATTATTTGCAGGGTTTCTAAAGGCTTCAACGAGTTAAATTTAAGACCTTTAAGGACCTTTTTAAAGACCATAGTGAATGAAATGAATTAAGACCAATGTCAAGTATGAAAGATATGAGAGAATAGCATAGAATAGACACTGCTAACATCTGTGCTCCTGGGAAGGAACTTCAACACACTGACATTACAAACCATGCATGCTGCCAGAACATTTCTCTTAGAAAAGAGTCCGAGCTCAATTGAAACAGTGTTGAATTAACATACCAAGAGAGATGTAAATGCCACAGGGATGTAACATAGTCAACAGATACCAACATTACCTCACATCATCACTCTGTATGTTTGAATTTGTGAAACACTGGATTATTTTACAACCTATCAAGGGAACATACTGGGAGTGAAGTGGGAGACCACCATCTTGAGGCAGGAACACAGGTAGACAGTCTGTGCTGAGACCAGGTTACTGAGGAAGGTCATGTACTCATCCACCACCGCATGGCTCCGGCCCACCCATGGAAGCCTCTAATAAAACACACAGAGAAGAGTTTCAGCATGAAAACATTTGTCAATAAAGACAAAATCTGAATGGTCCATTCATATCTGAGTCTGGGTGCCTGATGGAGTTTGGGATGAATGACATGTTTGGGGTGGGTTGCACTGTGGGACTCTGGGACTAAAGTCTCCCAGTGACCTTCATGTACAATACGTACCTCCTGCAGTCTCATTTTGGAGCGTCCACAGTAATCATTTAGTCAGAGCCTCCCACACACTGGCCTTACATATATACCACTATAATATCAATCTGTTGCTTATTTGAATGCTTTATTTCTCCTCAGATCTCTAAGAAGACCCTCAGGACCTCCTTGAGGCCTAGGTGATGTCTCTGTGTTGTTCATTGTATCTGACCAGTCAGAGATCAAGTCATGTTGTGATTACAGCAAAAAAAACTGAAAGATTTAAGAAGCTGGAACCAGAATATTTTGACATCAGCTGCTGATGGTACAAGTCTCATGATGGACCCTCACCAGGAGAGTATAGATGAGCTGCTCGTGGTCCTTGGTTAGCTGGGTCACACATCTCCGAAATTCTTGCAGCCAGCTGATGATCTGAGCATCCTGACAACAGAACAGAGACATAGTGGAATGTGATTATACTGATCCCAGATCATAACCACTCACACACACTCACACTCACTCACACACACACACACACACACACACACACACACACACTCTCTCTCTCTCTGCTGTACCTTTATCTCAGGATCAGCCAGCTGATGCTTCAGCAGCTCATAATCACTGGAGTCTCCCTTCAAACAAAAACATCAAATCAGATACAGGAAGATGACAAATGACGACGTTGTTCATTTGAATTAGAGCAACAATAAACTTGTATACTATCCTGACGGACCGGAGTTGTAAAGCAAGCCACACTTAAAGGTTGGGTTTAGACCTGACACTTATTACGACACAACACAGAGCAACTCTTCGGAGTCTCAGCTGCATTTGCTCTGATGTAAACCACAGAGTGACCGCATGTCAACACTCACCTGCTTGTATTTTAACAACGTCTCCGCCACACTGCCTCCAAACCTGACCGTCTTCACAGGAGGGCTGTTCAGAAAGTCCAGACCGTCCATCTCCATTGTATAAACGTGGCGCAGCTAGGCTAACATTGGCTAAAAGATCGGGCTGAAGAGGACGGACAGAGCTGGCTCCATTGTTCTCACACACACATCGGTATCAAACGGTGTTTGTGGTAGAAACAGATGAGTTTAGAAGGTGAAGCCCGGACTGTGCTGTGGACCACCCGGAGCATGTGTGCGCTCTCCTCCCCAGAGGAAGTACACCCCGTGTTTACGGAAGTGAATGCTGGTGTCACATTCAGAGTGTTCCCTCATGTTCCCTCTCACAGGGTCGTTGGTTCCTGTCAGTCTTCAGATTACCGGAGGACATGTAGCCACCCAGTGGTTTATATAGAATATAATATAATACATTAGTACATGAATAGATCAATAATAAACCACTGTCAGGTACTCAGATAAAAACGAGCTGTGATAATCCAACACAAGAGGAGATGTGACAGTGTAGTTACCATAGCAACCATAACAGAAGGATGTGAGACGTAGATGAATTTGTGGAATAACTCCTCAGTTAATGTGTCTTTGCTGCTCGCTTCATCTCTATCAGACATTCTCTTGTGTACAAATACTTTAAACATAGACACACTTTCCATTAGGCAAAATGTAGTCTTCTGTTTGTCCACTGTGGTAAATACTGTTATTTTGGTGATGTGTTAATCTACTGTATATCTGTCCGTCCTGGGAGAGGGATCCCTCACATGTGGCTCTATGAGGTTTCTACTTCTTTTCTCCTGTTAAAAAGTTGTTAAAAACCTGTTCACCCCTATGAGACAACTTGTGATTTGTGAAAATGGACTATACAAATAAAATGTGATTGATTGATTGCCTAAACAATGGAGGTTGTGGAGTTAAGTTATAGTAACTGTGCATACTAGTGCAGTGTGCACACACTGATGATAGGAAGTAAATTGTTTTCTCACCATAGTTCTCTTAAATTGTGCAACTTTTTGTTGTAACACTGTAAGATGTGAATCTTTTGGTTTCTGAATGATCCGCTTCTTTTTAATAAATGATGGTAACTTCCTGATCACAAAGAGATTGCTTACTTCCCTTTCTACTGTTGTGTTACTGTAGTAGTGATGGTGGAATGCTCATGTATTAATGTTGTAATGGTCAGTTTTTCATGGTCGACACCATGAGAGGATTAGTTGACACACACTGAACCAGCTAAACACAGGTCTCCAGACTGTATTTCTATCAGTCCTGCCTGGAGAGTGGCCCATTCTGTGGGAACTCCACAATACACTGTTGTTTGCAGACTATAAATATGTCACATCTGAGTCATATAATATAATATGTGCGTGCGTGTGTTTGTGTGTGTGTGTAATATTAAGTCTGGACCTTATTATGTCTAAGATCCTTGAGATAAAAGTATGCTGTGATTTAGTGCCCTACAAATAGAATTGAATTGAACTGAAAATTGACAATATGTCAGTGCTTCATGGAAAAGATGAATAAATGTTGAAACTTTATATTCATTGGTTTAAACCTCCAAGATGCACTTCTTCTGAAGACAATTCTTTGGAATTCACTATCAAAAAGACAACTAGTATGACTGAACTAATGCACAGTGGCACAAAAAAATAGAAATGTTTGAGGGCTATTTTTTGATTTTATATTCAGTCCTGTTACACAATAAGGAACTGCTGTTGCATGAGTATTGTAATACAGTGTACACGCTTGTTCATGAAGGTTGAGTGAGGATTCACCCTGAATAAGGTAACATACTCTACTCCGGCCCTGAGTGCCTTGAGGTTTGATATCATACTTATCATAAAACTTACTTTTATTAAAATGTGAAATTTTGATGTTCAAAATCATGTTTAAGACAATCATTTTGTTGCTATTGTAAAATATCATAAAACCAAATTTATAGAATTTCAGACATTTTCTGAATTAGAGACACTTTTTTGACACTGCCACTAGGAGTTGTCAAAGAGACATTTTCTAATCTTACACAAGGACCTTTCAAAATACAAGAGGAGCGTGGGAGGAGACATTGTTTAACTCTATTCTCAGCAAAATGGTAACATTTTCAAATGTAGTTTTCATTGAACCAGAGGTAAGACAAGATCGTGACTGTAGTGGAGGAGTTCAGGTCTGACGTATCGACACCATCAAGTGTGCTCTGTGCAGTAAGAGAAGGCAGCCTATTCAGTTGTCCTTTCACTTTAATCAGTGTATGAAACTGTTCAAGTAGCTAGGTCACTGATTGTTATCTTTTCTGGGAGGTGATCTGGTGATATCGGTCAAAATGCAATGATTCACATCATTTTTATAGTAAAAAATGTACTAACTGAGTCCTGTGACCAATACTTACCTGTGAGACTACAAATAGACAAATCATACTGGATGGTAGTGCTTAATGGACGTCATTTGTTTAGTCTTATAGTGACCACTCAAAGCATTTAACAATTGGTGGCTTATTATGTTTATTATGCTGTCATGATGTATATGCAAGTCTGTATCTAGCATATGTCATGATTAATACAATTATTATATTGATTACACTAGCATATAAAACACTGGCTATGCAGTCAAGATGGCACAAAACAATACAGCAATGATGTCATATTTATCATGGTTATGAGCTCTATAAGATTTCTTGGTATGTGGTGGTTAATTACATCATGGAAATAAACATTAAATGATTATACATGTATTTTATATTTTGGCATTTGACCCCTATAATGATATCAATATGACTTTATCAATAGGACTTGTTTTATTTTTAGAAATGATCAAGTGCCAAATTCTTTATTTGTTTCATTGGAGACAAATGGACTATAAAGAGGAGTAGTGTGATACTGACATTGTCTTGAGTACATTGTACAATGATGAGTAAATAAAAGTCATCACATTTAAATTACACTTTAAAGGTACAGTGTGTAGAATTTAGTGATCTCTAGTGTTGAAGTTGCAGCTGAACACCCCTCACCTCACCCTCTCCTTCCAAACATGAAAAAGAACCTGTGTTAGCTTCAGTTGTCATAAAAACTCAAAAGGTGTTTAGTTTGTCCAGTCTGGACTAATGTAAAAAACATGGCGGCCTCCGTAGAGAGGACCTCCTCCATGTAAATATAAAGTATTTAAATATAAAGGGTCTTTTCTGGGGTAAAGAAAACTACAACTCATACAATTTAGATGAAATGAACTAGTGAAAACATCATGAGGATTATTCTACATTAAATTTGAGAGACAACTTACCTTTTTCTACAGTGTGTATACCATTTTATTTCATTTTTTGAAGTCAGACAGGAGTTGTGCATCAGTTTTCTGCCCTGGTATTCAGTGTTTCCCTTTGTTAAACTACTACTCACCAGGAAATCATTATCATATCTTAGGTCTTTTGTTTTCTTTATGTGACACTGATGTGATGTCACAGTTTACTATTCTCTCAGCGTGCTAGTTTAAGTAAATTAACTTTTCTTCAAGAGTCTGGAGTGAATCATTTAAATTGTCACGGTAAATATGCTAATCCCTCCTTCAACATGGTGGTTGCAGGTTGAACAGACTTCTTCGCAGTGTACTTGATAGTAGAAGTGGGTGATAGTGATAGAGAGGGTGGCAACTCTGGATATGGAGCAGTCAGAGGAAAAGGCTGTATGATAAAGACAGCTGGTTCCAAAGGTCACACTCTGAGGCTTGTTATCAACATGGGTGGGAACAAGGAGGCCTGTCACCAGCTGCACCTTTTTTTCCACCACAGTAGTCTGCTCACTCAATTCTTATTCGTCTTATTTTCTAACATGTGTGCTGCTGCCCACAAGGATCGGCAAGTCTCAGTTAACATGAGAAAAATCACTATGATAGAGTCTGATAAGGGTCACAGCATAAACCTGTATCCAGGAGTTGAACTGGTTCGTCATCCAAACCCATTTTCTGCTGTCATCAACTGCTACCTGAAGACTGTTATAACTCTGTATGCTGCGTACTATAACCAGCACATCTTCTAAGCAGCTCATTAGTTTGGAAGAGAAACATCAGGTGGATGAGAAGTTACATGACTCTGAATTACTTTTACTGTGACTCAGTGGGTCATGGAAGAGCTGGAGTTGGATACTTATATATTAGCCAGAGAGAAGTGTGTTGCACGTTTGTGACCAGGAAGTTATAAAAGCAGAAGGAAATGTTCCTGTTAACATTCACATGAAGAAAGTGTTGGTTGATCCATTTCTAGATCTCTAGATTGTAATGAATGCAGTCTGGATGAATCATTAGTCTACTCTGATCATCAGAATCAAAATAAAGGTAAAACTGTATAAAGGCTGTATGAAATGGTAGGGAATATTGTTGTGGAGAACTGCATGTCTGATTCATGTGATTGTGCTGTCATGAATGACTAGAATGTCACTAGAGCATGTACCTCTGCCAAGCTGCACCAAATTACACACACTCATACATATAACATAGATATAAAGCTTTCGATAAAGTTTATAGTTAGTACAAGTTATGCAGCTATAGGCCTAGATTGTCAGGGGACACATAACACATGAAACTTCTGTTTTCTCTTCATCACATTAATGTCTCATCAATACATGTGAGTGACTTGACTTCTTCCCTGGAGTCCTTGTGCTTTATCATTGCAGATCAAGGATCGCTGCTGCAGCCATATCATGCATCGAGATGGTGGTACAACTAGATTGCCTAGATATGCAATATACCCATTCACATATACTACCACTACCATTCCTACGATTGTCATTACTGATGCATTCATCTTTGTCAGAAATGTCCCTGTGTATAAATACTTTAAACAATGATACATGTCTCAATTTGTATTAAAAACAGCCCTCTCTCATCAGTGTTGTATATATTGTTATTTTGCGACATTTATTGCACTTCTGTCCGTTGCGGGAGAGGGATCCCTGACATGTGACTCACTCTATACAAATAAAAATTGATGTGGCAGATTTTGTTTCATCAAGATAGATGAATTATTCCCTGAGAAAATGGTGAAAATGTCAAAAAAGGGAGAAAAATACCCTTTTTGCAATAAAGCCATATCCTGGATCAGCCCTGATCTGCATCCACATACAATTTTATTGGATTCTTCCAAAATATTGTTTACAAATAAACAAATCAACCAACAGAC